AAGAGACAAATATTAACAAATTGGCTATTTTCATAGAAAAAGCCAATCTGTTAATATTTGTCTCTTCATATTCGTGGGTTCCAGAGACCCCCATGAATACAAAGGGACTAAAAAAACAAAAAACAAAAACAAAGCCAATCCGTTTTTATATTCGTCCCCGTCTCTAGACTGGACCCCCAGGATCTCCCAGGGTTCTCCATACATCTCCTCTGCTCCTTTCTTTGGGCTTCTCTTTGTTGCCAATTTTCACATTCTTTACACTGCTTCCTTTCCTCTGTCTCTCCCCAATAAGGTGGCTTTCTGTATACTTGTATTCTTCATTCCTTTTCTGCATACTCCCTAGGGACTCCCTTGTCCATGGATCTTCTTGCACTATTTCCATTAAGTCTTCCTCTTTCTTTTCTTTCTCCTCCTGTGCCCAACAGGCTTCCTCCTCTTTCTCGCCCCCCCCCCGGTTCCTTCCTATCATCTCCTTTTATATCTTCCTCCCCACCCCCAATTAGCACCCTCTGCAGTTTCTGTCTCTATCTTCAATTGTTTTAATTGTTCCAGAATGGTTTCTCTCTATCTTTCTGCTAGGAGAGATGGGGCTACTCTCAAGCCTCACAGTTATTCAAAGTTATCTTGCTTGCAAATACTATATAATCAACATGATTAAACATAAAATGTATTCACCTTCACCATGCAGTCCTACTACTTCCAAACTGCCTCATATAAACAGATTTATAACAAAAATGGTTTTACTTCATCACCTCTTCCCTGAAGCCCCCATCAAACAAATCTGCTCCAGAGGTTTTCCAAAATCACTCGAATAGACTTGTAAGCCTAAAGAGGGAGGAGAGTAGAGATCTCCCAGTGTCACCCATCCTACTATTGGATAGACACAGCTGGATGCAACCCAGTGTACATGTGAAATTTGAGAATAGTCTAGATTCCCACCCCTGAAAATAGCATAATTTTCAAAATATTAATATAACAAGTCACCTCCTTTCGGTCCATTTATTTTAAAATATGAAATCATTAGACTTCACTGATACATTTTCCCTCATGAGACAAGCTGATATTGCTCTAATAAATTCAGCACCTTTGTAATTAAACATTAACAAAGAAAATTAAATCAGTAATCTATAGATTAGTAAAGACAACTAGCAGATTCTTCTGATTAAAACAATACAAAAGTTGGCCTTTGGAAATCTCTTTGAGACTTCTGTTAGAGCAGCAAATTTCTTATTACCATTATACATTTTTCTCACACAAATTATTTAACTTTTCTCCTAAATTTTATCTCTAACCATATCCTGCATATGTATTCAAAGCTCCAGAAGCCCACCTTCCTCTCTCTCAGGGCATATACACACTGGAAACATAAAAATTTAGAAATCATTTCATGTCTGTCATTCCTGAGAATTGTGGGCTGATATGATATAGAGAGAGCAGAGACTTATTACCATCTATATTAAATAACTACAGTTATATGGCTTCCTTAGGGAGACACAAATGATAATAAACTACTTCAGAAGTGTAGATATGCCCCCTCTCCCTTTCTTTCTCATCTTCATTTCCAGTGTGCTTATTAATGTTTTTAAAAATATGTTAATTCAATAGTTGTTTCACTAATAAAATATGTTCACGTGCATTTTAATATTATAAGTTACTGTGTTTTTACCTGTGTGAGTTGTTTTCTCTCACCATTTTATAATGGTGAATGCAAAATGAATAGCACACACACACACCCCACTCAATTGGTATAAAAAGGCAAAGCTCATGTACAATGGATCACTGCACACCAGAAAAGACAAAAAGGATTTTGGCCACTGTCTTTTCCAGTGAGTCTTGTTTCTTCATGCATACCTCCAAAGTACAATAGCTTCAGTTTCATCACTCTGTTTCAATTAAAGTTCAGGTTTGATCTGATTTAACAACCAGGTGTCTTCATGGTGGTCCCTAGTATCTGTAAAAGTCTCCTCTTACACTGCATGTTGAATGAGTTTCCCCCCTTATTTATAGACTACCTTTCTCTTGAGAAACTCATTTTCTTCATTCTCTAGCTTTCACATCTGAATATAGTAATTGAACATGCCATAGTATGGAGGATACTGGCTTTGATCTCCTGCAACACCTCTTTACATCTATGATCTTTACTGATTCTTCTGTAGTTGCTTCCGAATCTCAACGTTTTCTGATTTCTTAGCTGCAGTCCTCATTAGGATTGACTATTGAACCAAAGTACAGAAAATCTTTAACTGCTTCCATTTCTTCATAGTTAACATTAATGTTTCATTATTCTTATGTCATCATTATTTTTGTTTTCTTGATGCTCAGCCATAATTTTGCTTTTGGTCTTTCTTTTGTAACTTTAATCAGTAGTTGTTTCAAGTGATTGTTGTTTTCTGCCAGCAATGTGTTATCATTTCCATATCTGAAATTATTGGTTTCTTCCTCTGATTTTCCCTTCTCTTTCCATTTACAGCGGGGTCTCAACTTATGAACGACGCTACTTGCGAACAATTCAACTTACGAACCCGCCCTCAAGTTACGAACAGGAAAAAAAGTGCCCCCTCCCTCCCCTTAGAGGCTTCTGGAAGGGAAAAAAGGGTCAGAAACTTAAAAATAAATAAAAGAAAGTCACTTACCAGGCCTTGGTAGCCCCCGAACTGCAGGAAAAATAGCAACAAAGAGATAAAAGCCGACACCCAGAAGGGAGCCTGGCAGCCATTTTGTGCTTTTCTCTACTCCTGCCCCCTCCTCTCCCCACCTAACAGCTGATCGGCTGGCTCTGAAGAGGCTTCCGGAGGCATGCTCAGCACCTAAAGAGGTTGAGGTGTGAGTTCCAGACTCCTGCCTGTGTGTCTTTGTGCTGAAAAAATCAGCACAACATGCTTTAAAACATGCTTTAAAATTGGCTTCGTTGAAAAAAAAAGATTTCAAAAGTGCTTTTAAAACTGTTCCCTGCCTCCCCCTTCCTTTCCTGAACTTTTCTTGACCTAAGGAAAAAAGAAAAGAAAAATATCCCCCTCTAGTGGTAGAAGGTGGAATAGCAGCTTCCCATTAGTTTCTATGGACGGAAAAGAGCAGATACGAATTAAATGGTTTTCAATGCATTCCTATGGGAAATGCAGATTCGACCTACAAACTTTTCAACCTACAAACTACCATCCAATACGGATTAAGTTCGTAAGTCGAGACCCCACTGTA